GCACCCCCGCCCTCCGTGCCCCGCCCTGGGGTGGCCTCTTCCCAGGCGCCCGCACAGCTCCCAGGCCTCGGCTCCGCGGCCTCCCCGGCCCACCTGTGCCCTGCGCACGGGGTTAGGGTCAGACACAGCGGCACGGACCCGGCCCAACGTACAGACAGACCCAGAGGGACAGGCGCACAGCGCTCCAACTGTCCATGCACACGGGTCAGCACACACACGGCTGTGCCACCCGCCCAGGGGCTCGCAGCTCTGACACCCAGAACGAGGAGCCCACCAGCGCCCAAGGCTCAGGCCTAAGACCTTCCTCTAAACGGCCACGGCGCCGGGAGAAATGGCTGGTTCCCGCTGGGCACAAAATACCCGAGATGGGCCTGGAGAGTCTTCTGGCATCAGAATGCAAAAAGGAAGTGCTGCCCTGGCCGGTCTGGCCCAGTGGTTACAGCATCGGCCCGCAGGCTGACAGCTCCTGGGTTCAGTTCCGGTCAAGGGCACAACCCCAGTTGCGGGCTGGACCCCAGTGCCCGTGAGGGTGCGTGCAGGAGGCAACCAATCCATGTGTCTCTCTCATCGATGCTTCTCTCTCCCTGCCACTCTCTTTGAAAACAATGGAAAAAATATCCTTGGGCCCGGCCAGCATGGCTCAGCAGTTGAGCACCAACCTAGGATTCAGGAGATCTTGGTTCGATTCCTGGTGAGGGCACAGGCCCGGGTTGTGGGTTCAATCCCCAGTAGGAGGCATGCAGAGGCAGCTGATCAATGACTCTCATTGTTAATGTTTCTATCTCTCTCCCCCTCTGCCCTCCTCTCTCTGAAGTCAATAAAGATATATTTAAATATATATATATCTTCTCAGGTGAGGATTTAAAAAAAAGTGTTCCCCAAAAAGTGCTTGGGGGCCAAGCCAAGGAGCCAGGAGCCAGCTGAAAGAGCTCCCATGGCAAAGTAGAACAGATAAGCAAAAAATAAGTCTTGGGTGATAACCCAAGGAACAAAGCACAGGTGAAGCCCTTACTGAGGGAAATAAACGATTAAATAAACAGGCGGGAGATCGGAGTGTTTTACAGCAGGAGCCGGAGCTCACCGGAGCAGCCCAGAAGCCTCCCGGAGCCTCTGGCCCGGTGTCCCCTCCAGGCCTGGACCCCGGGGGCTGTGGTTAAAACCAAACCCCAGGCCAGGTGCCATGGATCAGACGACGGGGCCGCTGTCACCCAAGCCGAGTGCGGGGTCTCCGACAGCCGGCCGTTGGCCGCACACCCGCCCTGCCGTGGCCCCTTGCTGGGATGGAGCCCCCACACCCGAAGCTGCGGGCAGAGGTGGCTGTACCTTGTCCGTGTAGGCAAAGAAAAGTATGGCGACAGTGGCCTCCAGCAGGAACACCAGCAGCAGCAGCACGAAGAACTGGGGGGGCGGGGGGCAGACAGACACAGGCCTCAGCAACCCTGCCCAACCCCCAGGGGTCAGCCACCCCAACCCCGGAGCCTTCCACCTTCCAAGGGCCCGGCCACTCCCTTCTGAAGGGTCTGTGGTCAACATTCCGAGGACAAGGCTGAGAGCATCCCGAGGACATCCTGCCTCTGAATCCACACCAAGGCCAAGGCCAGGCTAGCAGCAGCTCAACAAAGGGTCCCAAGGCCAAAAGGCTGGGGACAGGGGCTGGGGAAGGGTCCCAAAAGGGGCAGTCTCGGGGAAACAGGCCCAGTGCAGGCCGGAGGGGCCCTGCCTGTCGCGCGTGTGCACACATAGGACCGTAGGCACGCGTGCACACGTGTCCCTGTCCTGTCTCGGGAGGCCCCCACCAAGCTCCGGCACTGCCTCTGAGAGCAGCCCCAGCCCCCGACACCCACTGCCCGGGGGTGGAGCTGTGGGTGGGAGCCGGGCGCCCACCCCGCTGC